ATTCCTACAATTGATTCTTTTTTTTTTGGTTTCCCATCCGGTGTCCGGTACCCACATTGGAGCCCGACTAAATCCGAATTCACGCCGGGAAGTCCCACATTGAGGGGTAAAGTGCTCCCTAACAAAGGAGCAAATGCTAGTAACAAAAGTTGAAACTAAATGAGCTATTGTTCTTACCAAAAGTTTTAATAGGATAGATATATGATACTTAACTAAATAGGTGATCATAAATAAATATAATAGAGATAATATGTCTTTAAATTTCCTTATCATAGAGTTTTGTCTTCTTCACTTTTTTTAAATATTTGTTTTTCTTTTACAAAAAAAAGAAAATCTTGTAAGGTCAATTATAAGAAAAATGATGTGATTTAGGCTCTTTTGTTATTCTATGTGAATATTTGTAATATATTTGTCATATTAACCATTTATGATAAGTCATAAGTAACACACTAAAATTCTCATAAGTCATAAGAGAGAAGTTTTCTAGTGGTATGCTTTTGTAATTCTTTTAATTTCTCAATTCATATTTAGTTTAGTACTTTTAAAATTTTCACCTTCCTTCCATTGCTTTCTGTCTTAATATTTTCTATCAAGAAAGGGATGTGCTAGCATAACTCTTGATAAATTTTTTCATGAACTTTGTATTGTATGAAAGACCGGAAGAGTTATTTATCTAGTGAAACAAGTTGATAGAGTAAGATGCTTTTAGTGGTAATTAAATTCCCGCAACTTTGTATGCAGGCGATTCAACTGATATCACTTGTTGTACATTGAGTCTAAATTAAATCTTACCTAAAGATGCATCTCATTTTTGGTGCAGGAACCATTTGAGTGCTATCACATGTCGGATATTGAGTCTGGTCTAGGGCTGAGGAGGAATCAGTTGATAGCAATTTCGCTTTTGGTGGGAAATGACTACAACTTGACTGGTGTACCAGGGATCGGGATTGAAACAGCAGTTCGTTTTGTCAAATCTTTTAGTGATGATGAGATATTGTATAGGTTTGTATTTCTCTTGATTTGAGTGAGCAGGTGGATTATGGGGCATGGGAAAGTCAATGATGATATTTTCAAATTTAAGTTGTTGCTATGAATACTGAATAGTGGTTCCTGAGTACCCATTACAGTTAACTGCCCATTAATGCAGGTTGCGGGAAATAGGTGGAGGGGATCTACAGGATTTTCAGCACGACGTCAACTTAGACAGTAGTTTAATACCCAGTTCAGATGAGAGCCCTCGGAAAACCAAAGTGCCACATTGTTCAATCTGTGGACATCCCGGAAGCAAGAAAGCTCACCTCAAGTTCTCTTGTCAGTACTGCAGTGCCACCGCCAATGAGGGTTGCATTAAGAAGCCATTGGGCTTCAAGTGTAATTGCTCCCCATGTGATTTGGTACATCTGAAACACCCTGCTTCATTGATCTTTTACTGAAATGATATGTTATTCTGTCAGGCAGCTTCCTATTCAGGGCATTCCTTTTTCCTTCTGGTCTCATCCTTCACTAAACGCTGGCTGTGATGTTATATGACAGGATAATAAGGAAAAAGAACAGAAAAGAAACGAGAATTGGAAGCTTAAAGTTTGCAGAAGGATAGCCTCGGAGCAGAATTTCCGAAACAATGAGATCACAGAAATGTACTTGAACAAACAACAGCAATATGGTGAGTGAACTGGCAATTATGATAGAAGTTCATTTATAGTCTGCCAGTTTGTGGTGCTGTTTGCATATTTAGAGAAAGAGACTTGAGAAAGCAAGGGCAATTTGCATGTGAATATCTTTTTTATTTTGATTTATTTATGTTTACCTCAGTCGCATGGCATCTAATTTATGATTTTTTTTTTTTTTTTTTGAACCCAGTGCTTTATCTAGAGGGCCAGTAAAATTTTTGTTAATCACTGTCTGCTGTTTACTCACTAGAGCCAATGGATTTCCCACCTCCCTCAGTCCTCCTTTTCTACATTTCCGGTCTTCATTTTCAGCTCGACTTGTATGATTTTTCTAGCCTCTTGTTAACAAATTAGACCTTGTGCCTAATTCAACCCGGAAAGCTTGCCCAAGTAGTGAGGATATTTCCCAAGACCATTTAAGGAGACTACATTCCATTCACTTAACTGATGTGGATTCTAACACCCTGCACACCCAGGGCTGGACATTAAGAGTGTGAAGTTATCACATTGGTGGCTCAACCTTGGTGGATCAACATTAGGGATTTCAAGCCTAGCTTAAACCTAAAAACCTAGCTCAAATAGTGACTTAAATCTTCTATATGAATAGGAGTCTTGCCTTACTCTAGATTTTTGTTATTTCATGTCAAGTTTTTTTTTCCTATTGAATAACTATATTTATATCATGCTAAGGAGTCCAATGGTACATTATCTACAGTCAATTCTAGCAATTTCATTTCTTTTTTCTTATATTTTTCTATATAGTATTAGCGGCCTACAATCTTGGAGTCTAGGTAGACCTAAATAGCTTCCGGCTAAACTTTTCTTTCCTTTTCATAAGTTTACTGTTGTTGTTTCTTCTATGTGACAACAGTTCTAACAGAAACATTCCCTAAACTCTCTCTATTTCATGTTAGTACAAGTTTATCTTGTTGTAGTAGTCTGAACTCCCATATAAGTTCCTCTTGCATGTTGTCTACAATCAATTCAAGACAAGTTCTGTACCTTGTTTACCCTCGTGGAATTATTTTTTGCAGATGGAGATTATCATTTATCATGGGAAAATCCAAAGATTGATATGATAGTTGATTATCTGGCTTATTATCAGCACTGGGAGCCATCTTATACACGTCAAAGAATGTTTCCTATGTTATCCACCATATTTCTGAGAGACGTGGCCTCAAATTCCAAAGATCAATTGTTAGGCGGACAATATGAATTTGACTCCATTCAGCGGGTGAAGACAAGATTTGGACATCAACTTTACGTAATCAATTGGAAGAAACCAACACGTGAAATGAGTAATGCAATCTGCATACCTTCTGAAGACTCTGATACGGAACAGGAGCTGGGGATAGCTGATGAGTCCACAGATTTACTTGATGAACCTGATTCTCCGCAGATTCATGTCAAGGAGGGATGCAGCTTTTTGTCAACTGAAGAAGATATGGTGCTTGTACAGAATGCTTTTCCAGAAAAGGTGTCCCAGTTCTTGAGAGACAAGGTAAAGACTGATTTACTTTTTCTCTGCCCTACTTCAACCCCCCAACCCCAATTCCATTCCGCAAGAATGTTAGTTTTGTTTACTAAATGCTCATTTGTGATATCCCAGGAACTAAAAGAATCAAGATCACGTAGAAAAAGACCAATGAAATCTGAGAATTCAGAATCACCTAGAGGTGTTCAACTCAGCATCACCAACTTCTATCGATCATCCAAAGTCCCTTGTCATGAGAAGCTAGAGGAGAGTGAAACTGGATGTCCAAAGATTAGTGCGGATACTTCTAGAGAAAGAGATAAAGAACCCATCCGAAACTACTCCAAGTCAGTTAGACGCAAGCTTTTGTTCGATTAGCCATATTGCAGGATTATTCAATACCTTTGAATCCTGTAAATTGGTTATCACAGTGATGGTGCATATTAATCTTTATTTTTGTTTTTTTAACCCCATTTGGTAAAATGCAAGCTCACTTGTATAAATGTAGGTTAGTTTTTCTCTTAGGCAGCAATAATTAGAATGATGTTCTTAGGCAGCAATTGTTAGAATGATGTGCATATAACTCTTTTGTTTTGTTTTCTTCCCCATTTGGTATATGTAAGCTGACCTATAAAATGAGGTAAATATAGTTGAGTTCTCTGCAGCAATGGGGGTGGGGAGGTCCTTGATATTAAGGTGTCAAGGTCGAAGACCACAGGTGTAAGCAACCGGTTTGATCATTCAATTGACTCCTTGCTGCCCGTTCGTGCTTGTGGTCATGCTGGCAAAAGCAGGGGTTTTTACCTACTATTGAATTTGAACCAATGACTTTTGCCGTATGGAAGCGATACTCTATCAGCTAAGTCAAGTAGGTCAAACATTATAAGAGTTCATGGATTTACGTAGTTCAGTTTATGAGCTAATGAAAATTTTATGAGAAATATTACTGCATGGTCTAAAATTTTATTGAAAAGACGATAACCTAATGTTTTGTCAGTTATGATAACTGTTTGCACAATTTCTAAAATATAGGAATAAAATCTGAATGGTGACTAAAACTAACATGTGTGTAAATCTATTGAAAACGAAGAATTTAACAATTGAACCTAATATTTTTTAGTGGTTGAAACTATATGAATTCTCTTCGCTTGATTCGTTGAAGTAAACTACTTATATGCTTCTAAATTTGTTTTGATGGATGCAGAAGTTTAAATCCACATAATCATACATAGTAAAATGTTAAAATCCTTGAATGAGGAATAAATAGAAAAGGAAAAAAAGGCATAATTATCTACACCACTTCATTAGAACTCAGAAAAAAAAACCCAATGAATATACTCATGTTTTTGAAGATTTATCCATCCTTGTTCTCTTATAAACTTACAAAAAGGCTCTCCCAAACTCTCTCCTTTTAAATTGGAATAGTTATCTTTCTAGAGCCGCCCCAAAAATAACAGTCACAATAATATACATATTTTGTATATTACCCTAAAATATAATAGTCGCAACAAATATATATATATATATATATATATATATTTAAACCTTTTTTCTTCTTCTTTTGTGTGTATGTTTGGGGGTTGTTATGATAGGAAACTCTCAAGGAGAAGAAAATCCAGGGCTAGTCACACTTTTATTATTTCTTAATATAAGATTATATAGAAAAACCAATAAAGCTATTTTCTAAGTAATTTTCAGACTATTTTAGAAAATTTTGCATTGGGCCTACAAACATAGTATAAAAGCAATTAATGGAAATAATTTGTGTTTCCCGTTCTCTTACAAAATACAACATTATATCCCTTATTGTCACATTATTACCTCCAAATTAAACATCTTCCTTAGAAAAAAAAAACATGGACATTCCTGCCAATTCATCTGTTATGGGAACTAAAAATATCTGCATACTTTTAGTTCTTGATGATTTTACTTGTCATAATATTGTTTCTGATATGCTTCACAACCAAACTTATCAAGGTATATATCACAGTATAAAGTTTCTACATCTTTCTTTAAAATAAAGTTATTAACTTTGAATTCTGTTGTTTTCTGTTTTTATCAGTTTTGCATGTTGGAAAAACAATGGATACTTTAAATGCTGTTTGGGAAAGAAAGAGTATCTTCAATCTTGTTCTTACAAACATCCATAGGCTTAACACAAATGGGGTTGATATTCTCCAAATCATCAAGAACAAACTCAATCTTCCTACCATTTGTAAGTGTTTTCAGAGTTTATTTGTTTTTTGCAATTAAAATCTTTAAAGGGGTTGCACATTTTTTTTGTCTACAGTTATGTCACCAGATGATACAAGATGTGAAAATCAAGTACAAGATTGTAGTGTTGGAGCATATGTTGTGAGTTTCTCAGATACAGATGAGATGAACAAGTTTTGGCAAATGGTGTTAGAGAAGGAGAAAGGTAGAAAAGCAGCAGTTAATCAAGAAGAGAATGATTCAAGATTGCCTCAGAATGTAACTGCAGAGACTAGTAGAGAAAACACAACATCTGCTGATACTGATGTAGCGATAATGGCGCATGATCTGAAGGGTAAGCGAAAAGCTAACAGTGACAGAAGTGAAGAAAATAGAGACTTCGAAAAGAAACGAAGGGTTGTATGGACTCCAAAGATGCATCAAAGTTTCTTGCAAGCTATCCAGTACTTAGGCTATGAAAGTAAAACATTTCCTCCTTTTCTTTTTTCCCCTGAGAGTTCTTTTTATTTTTTTTGTTCTAAATTATGTAGTTGATATTCATGATACTTCTTTTGGTTTTCTTAATTGATATCCAGAGGCTGTTCCTAAGAAAATAGTTGAAATTATGAATGAGCCTGGATTGACTAGAGAACATGTTGCCAGTCATTTGCAGGTGTGTTTTCATTTATATTACTAAAATTTTCTGCAGAACTTTGAATCTCTTTACAATCACTTCTATCAAATTTTCATCAGATATGCTATCCTGTTAACTTTTCCTTTTTCTCCATATGGACATTGCTTCTTTTTTTCTCTTCTAGGAGTTATCCAAAATAAGGAAATGTGAATCATAATAGCATAATTACAACACGAAATCTCTGAAATTAATACAAGAATCACCAGTTTTAGAAAACACATGATAAAATGCATTTAATACTAGCAAAATCTTTGCATTAAGAGCTAGAACCTTGCACTTGTCCCTTGATGCATGTCACAGATGTTGAATGTCTTCATTCTCTAAAAATCGCGACATATTAAATTCTCATTATATACTATTATGGATAAGTTTTAATTGCTATTTAACAAAAATAATGTACATATTTGCAGAAATATCGCATGTGTATTAAAAGAGCGCAAGAAAGTTCAGCTGCTTCTATCTATGACCAAATCCTAACAAATGATGCTAATGCAAAATGCTTTCAAGTTCAACCATACCTATCTCCTCTAAATTTCAGCAGTTCGCGAGGATATTCTCATTCTATACAACAGCCATTTCAGACTCACTTCCAGCAAGGAACTGGCGGCATGAACTGTCCAACTTCTGGCCAAATGGGCAGTTTCCAGCAGCAGAACAGTCTCTTGGATTTTGCAAATTTGCAACAAGCAGATCATAATGGCCTAATTGGACGGCATTCGACATTTATGCCAAGAATAGCTCATAGTAGTAACTTCAGAGTATATGGTGACAAGAGAAAGAACATGCTTTTCAGCATCCAAAGTGGCAATGAAAACCAGCCCACAAACTCAAGTAATGCTGGTTTGGAGTTTCTTGGTTTTAGATTGAGCACAGATGGGAAATCTGTCAACTTTGGTCACAAAAGTTCCTCTTGTACTGTAATCCCAAATAATGCGTATTCTGGTCTATGTTCCTCAATATCAGAGGACTACATTCACAAGCAGCAATCTTCACCACAATTCTTGGAAACCCCTACTGAAAATACCTTAATTCAATCCTCTTCAGTTCAACCTGAAAATCTCACATTTAATCATCCTTCTAACAGCATTTCACAACAACAGAATCTTCTACTATTCGATAATGCAGTGAATACAATATCATGTGAAATCCCAGAAATGCCTGACAGCTTCATACCGCAAGAACAGCTTGCAGCACAGCCATCATCAAAGGATCTTGAAAACTATTCTGCAATATTATTTAGTGATGATGAAGTATATGTGCCATCACTAGAGAATTATGATTCTATACAGAAACAATATTCTGCACCAGAGTTACCACAAGTAACTCTTGAAGTCAATAGTTTAGGTACTGAAATAGACATTAAGTCTCTACTGGAAACAACAGAAGACAGAAGTACACAACTATTTTGGGAGGAGAATGAACTTCTTTAATCTTGCTGACTCAAGTTTTTACTCATTCAAAGTTGTATAGGTAGTTTAGCGATTCGATGTACCTTTTATCTCATCATGTTTGTATATAAATCTGAATTTTCATGAACCTCAAGTTACTAACTAGATGCTGTAGTACTACTATGTTCCTGTACTATGCTTACACATTTGGTCATCATCATAATAAAAAGAGTTTTGTTTGGTAAAGTCTATTTTACCCTTGGAAAGTAAAAGAAGATAACCAATGAGTTCATTTTTAAAAGGGTAAACTTGTCTTTTCGTGAACATTTCCCTGGATAAACCCCTGAAATTAACAGACCAATAACTGCAAAAGAACTACCAATGCCTTCCTTGCTACATCCCATGTTGCCACTCTCTTCAACGCCAAAACCTCCGGCAAATTCGCCGGCGTACGATGGACCCTTTGCTGTCCATAGTACAAGAACCAAATCCCTTCATACAGTAGCTGCAGTACCTAAAACTACAAGCGAAACAAGAATCAACAAGGCTGAGGATGACTATCATGCCACCGTCAAAGCTCTCAACTCTAAAGGTCGTTTTCCAAGAAAGTCACTTGGGCAGGTATTTACTGGTTCTGAACGGTAATTCCATTCTATTTCAGTATTTCAGTAGATGGGTATTGTTCGTTGGGGCATTTCATCGAACAGAGAAGTGGGTATTATTAAGCGAGCTGGTGTTTGATGTTTTTCAGTTGCGTAGTAAAGTGAACAGATAAATGGGTGTGATTGAGTGAGTTTGGTGTTTTGTGTTTTTCTAATTGTATTTTGAACTGTAGCATTACATGCTGAATTCAGAGGTAAATGATCAACTAGTTGCTGCTGCTGATGTGCAAGAAGGAGATTTGGTGGTTGAAATTGGGCCTGGTACCGGTTCCCTGACAAATGTTCTTGTCAATTCTGGTGCAACTGTCCTTGCAATTGAAAAGGTTTATTCTTTTTCACTATCAATGTACTTCTGATTTATTTATTTGCCAAGCATAGAGTAATGTTAGAAGTCTTTAGTCTGGTTAAGAGAGTCTTGTATGTTAGTGAAAAGTTTGAGATTTAAAGAGAAATTAATTCATGTTGGAATGACATGAGTTTAAATAGAATGTAATGGTTACAGCCCACTAGCTTGGGATTGAAGTGTAGTGAGTGTATGTCTGTACCCCTCTGTGTGTGTAATAGAATAGCTTGGGATTAAAGCGTAGTGAGTGTATGTGTGTGTCCCTCTGTGTGTGTAATAGAATAGCTTGGGATTAAAGTGTAGTGAGTGTATGTGTGTATCCCTCTCTGTGTGTAATAAAATAGCTTGGGATTAAAGCGTAGTGAGTGTATGTGTGTGTCCCTCTGAGTGTAATAGCATTGAAAATGTTAAAACTTAACAAACTTTGAGGATATATCTTTACGTAAACAGTTATGAGAAAAAGAAAAAAAGCTTATCTATCTTCTGTTCTCAATCTTGTTCTTGTTCCTTTTTATTGTTGACACAATTGTTCTCTTTTTCAATGATTTAAGGATCCCTACATGGCAGCCCTTGTAACAGAGAGATTTTCCAGTCTAGACTATGTAAAGGTAACAATTTTAGTTCAGTTTCCTCCACTTTGAATACATAATTAAAAGTTAATATTTTAGAATATAGTTCCTTACCCAATATAGAATGTTCTTCTACTGTAAAAGAAGATAAATGTACTTGGTTTACGTTATGCTTCAGTAGCTTCTATTGCAAGGAAATATAGAAATGTGATAATGTGACCACTGCATCTATAGGTCTTGCAAGAGGATTTCACAAAATGTCATATACGCTCCCATTTGTCCGCAGTTTTGCAAAGTAGAATGAATTCTTCAGGTGTAAAACCGAAATATGCAAAGGTGAGAACCTGCATTTATTTCAAGTTCTTCCTTTGAATCTTGGTATAGGAATCTGTTGGTCCTATTCTTGACACATTTGTGCTTTAAGATTATGTGTTTTGTAGTGCAAATTACCAATGTCTTCAATATCATGCTAACAGGAGATGTATATCCCTTTCCTTATTGCAGGTAGTCTCCAATCTACCTTTTAACATAAGTACAGAAGTTATTAAGCAACTTCTTCCCATGGGTGATATCTTCTCAGAAGTAGTTTTGCTACTGCAGGTTGGTATTGTCAGTTTAAATATGCTTCCACATTAATTGATCGCTAATGCCAAAGATAGGTAGTAGGAATTATTTGTTGATATTGGGAATAGTGGCATAGTTCTCTTTCTTTTTTTGCCCTTTCTATATTTTTTTAAAACTGGATAACTTATGTTGTGCATCAGAGACTGTTGGTTGTTCTGTGTTTTGTCATACTTTTTTACGATCTACCCCTCCTTGATCTCGATTAGAATTCACCAATTAGATGTAAAAGATTATAAGGCTGAAGCAATAGGACTAAAACTTCTTTGACTCAGTCCAAGCTTTTGCATCTCAATTTTTAAAGGGTCGTTAACGACCTGTATGATTTCTTTTGATAAATCCCAGAACTAAGCAGGCTTCTTTGTAATGCCTGTGCATGTTTAGAATGAGTAATATTGGTTGCCTCGGGTCTGGTCATTTTTCTTGTGCCCCATCCATTTTGTTACTGTGAAAGTTTCTCTGATTTCTTTTTTCATTTCTTATGCCCAAATTTTTATTACTGAACACCAAGTTGGTGTCAAAAATATGTCCAAGTTGTTTATATGACAACCCAAGCCATCTAGGTACCTATGAAGTTTGTGAACCCTCTATACAACACAATATTCACTCTTTGCACCAAAAATACAAGTGAAATAAAAGGAGATTTTCATGCTTTCCACATCATTCTCACTCTTTTCAAAACTATGTTCGTTTTCTTCCATTCCATAAGCCCCAAAAGAGACATAGTGGTGACATTTTAAGGCTATTCCTTTCAGTGCTAACCTCTGTACTCAAGGTTGCATCCTTTATAGTCTGTGTTTGTTAAAAGACGAGCATACAAGAGTTCTCTATCTTGAAGCTAACCTGGATGCAACTAGAGATGATTAGTATCCTCTCTAAATTCTTTTTCGTGCAACATCGACTCAAAAATATTCTCCTTCTCTGTCTCAAATTTAACACAATTGGGGAGGCATCACGAACTGCACACCAAACAAAGAAATCCACTCTCTTTGGAGTCTATGATAAGGCTTTGACTTCTGTCATAGTCTATGTCTCGTTCTGCATCGGCATCCTGAACTAGTTTCTAATTTAATGTAGCTAAGTTTCTTGCTTAAACCTACATGGTAGTTACTTTTGATGGTTACCAAAACCTAACAAGCTCCTCGTGCTGTTTTTGTATGTTTATGGTAACATCTATTACTACTAGTTCTGGAAAAATATAGTGGTAGATGTTCTGGGACATAATGTAGGAGGTCATTTTCACAAAGTATGCAACTTGATGGCATACGGGAAACAGTTTGATAGATTTCACCTGTTACCAAATCCCACCCAACTGTTCCAATTGTTGGAAGGATCACTGACACAGTTGATTGTATGGAATTTCAGGAAGAAGCAGCTGTGCGCATGGTGGATTCATCCTTACGGTCCTCTGAATACCGACCCATTAATATTTTCATCAACTTCTATTCAGGTACTTGAGAAGTCTTGTGAGAGATGAAGTAGTCCTTTATACCTCAATGTCATAACTCTAGTCCTGGACTGAGGATGACACACATTTTGTGGTGATATCTTGAAAAAAGACAACCCTAATTACTCGAAGTATAGCTCTGTAGTTGTATACTGTTTGACTACAAAAACAACCCCCAGTTATCTTATTTGGACTGGGATAGTACACTTAGTTTTACTTTGTAGGCTGTAGCTATGAATAAGAATACATACGATATATGTAAAAATATATGAAGTAAATTTTCTGCATATGAAAGGTGACAAGTGTGCCAAAACCTCATCTTTTTCCAAGTTTTACTTGGTTTCCGGCTATCATTACACCAGGTCCTAGATTCATTTTTGGCTACCTGGTCCCGGGAGACAAAAAAAACACTCTTCCAAGATTCTGCTGATAAATTCCAAATATTCCACTTCTAATTATCTGATATATCAACTCCTATTTGCAGTGGATTTGTGCCATCTTTCATTTCTGATCCTTAGTACCTCAAATTTGTGTTTAGTTGAATGCTGGCGGTCCATATTCTTCAAATCTCAAAGATATACTGTACTAATCAAAATGATATCTTTAATATCAATGACATTTTCACATCTTTGTAAAATAAATAGATCCAAAACTTTTTGTATGCTTTAATCAATGTTCTCAAGTTTTTGCATTTACATTTATCTCTGCAGATCCTGAATACAAATTTAAGGTGCCGAGGACAAATTTCTTCCCACAACCTAAAGTAAGTGCCCCTTTTATATTTACTGTTTGAACACCTATTCTGAACCGAGAACAGATCATAATTAACTATTTTTTGAACTTAAACATTAGCAGTTTGAAATTTAGAGACTCTTCCAGGCACACTGTCACTTCCAGTAAATTGAACATACACCCCTAGACAACTTCAGATGTGATGCTCTGTCCAATATCAAACACTTTGAACTATGGTAGAATGAAGCTTTACTTTAATGTCTAAATAAGTTTCCTTCATTACAAGATATCTTCTAAGCGTGTTTCCTTTAATACTTCCCTTGATCTCTTTGACGAATAGTATTATTTGAAGAACACAGTTCCCAAATCATGTACAGGATCTTTGCTGGTGGTATAATTTTTCCATGTCCATATGATGGTGTCTAATAGGTAATTGTTATGATTATTCCATTGGGTCACAAAGTGAAATTATCTGTTTTTTGTTCTTCAGGTTGACGCAGCTGTAGTTTCCTTCAGACTGAAGCAACCTGTAGATTATCCTCCCGTTTCTTCAGCCAAAAGCTTCTTCTCAATGGTACTCACAGCCTTCTCTTGTACTTCCCTTTTTGCTTTCCGCGTGTGTTCAAATGTGATATGATATAACGATTGGAAGCATAGCACTACTTTATAAACTTTATATAAAAATAAACAGCATCTGCAATCCGTGGTTAGGCCAATACTTGTTTATAAAACTAATTTGGGAATTTAGGGTTAAATATGGTGAGTAGTTCATCTTTATCATTATTATTAGCTGACATTCTATTCCTCGTTGATGGTTAAGGTCAACTGTGCATTTAATGGGAAACGTAAGATGTTACGAAAGACACTACAACATATATGCCCTTCTCTTGAGATTGAAGAAGCTCTTGTTAGTGCTGGTCTTCCATCCACGGTATTACTGATGTAGTTTCTCATTTATCTAGTCAATGAAACTCTAGAAACTGGTCTGTCTAAATCAGTTCTTCTCACGTTTGATTTTCCCCTTCTTTTCTTTTTCTTTTTCAGTCAAGGCCTGAGGAGCTTGCGCTTTATGATTTCGTAAGGCTGCATAATTCAATTGTTAAACCCTAGGATCTTCTGGTGTCACTTGGTGCTGAGCTGTCCTGAGGATACTTATGCTTATGCTTCACTGGTACCAGAATCTGGAATAGGGAGTCTACAAGCTGCAAAAGCCCAGAGCAATATCACCAGCAGCAAATTCAAACAGCTAAAGTTGACAGCAAAAAGAGCAACCCCGCAACACTTGATTTGAGCCTCCATTGCTCTACTGTTGTCAAATTAATCAAAGCCTTAATCCATTCAACACAGCATAAGCGCTAAGAGAATTGTCAAGGCATTAGATATGAGTGTAAATATGTTATAGCGTGCTCTCATTAGTAGAGTATGCCATTAAGTATAGTCGATATTTTTTTTGCATCAGATCACCCTCTATAATCCATGAATAGTGAGAATTTATATGACACTCTAACTTGGTTTGGTATTGAAGCGTAATTATTGTTGTTATTTTATCTCATTCCCTTTCATGTATTGTTATGTAATTTTAATTTTGACTCTTGAGTTGATCAATTAGCACTATATTCGTTACGATTTGCAGTGAAATGAAGAAGCAAAATCAACTCATAATCCAAATAGGGGAAAATGGTTTAGATTAGGGAATATGAAAATACATTTGGAATGACCAATAATTTATCTTATCTACTCCACTAGTAAAGTAATTTCAAACGATTCTCTATAGAGTTGTTCAAGAATGGAACTGATAAATAAGATCCAAGGACCTCAACTTTGTCCCATGAGGATCAAATTCCAAATCAGGGCCGTCATTGTCATAGCTCCGCCGCTGCTCAGCCACAGCTGACGTCGGGGAAAGAGGTCTTTTAGGTCTCTTATTCTGAATGAAACAATCCCTCATCCTCTCCTCAACTCTGTCAATACTACTCTTGGAATTGTGCTCGGTTTCATTGACAGCATCTTCCTCATCCCCAACTTGCATAGGTTCACCGCCTGCGGCGGAGGAGACGGAATTCTCAGGAAACGGAGGTGGTGCAGGGAGGAGATGTGGTGGTGGATAGTGGTGGGATTGGGAAAGGAAGTTGGAGAGATGATGGTGAGCAGATTGAAGGGAAGAGTAGATTTGCAGGAGTTGAGAAGAATCAACAGTGGTGGGGAGTTGTTTAGCCATTAGGGTTGCTTGGTCAAGTGCTTGTATCAGTTCAGCTATGCCTCCTTTCTCTGAAACCATCTCCATCTCCATCTCCATTTCTGTTTTGCCTTGTGACTTGTGTTATGTTGATGGATATAAACAAAACCTATTTCAAAATTAGTACTAATTGTTTTTTTTTTCTTCTAATCCAGCCTTATTACATTACAACAATACATATTATAGTCCAATAATTAGTCATTTAAGAAAAACATAAGATTAATTTAGTCAAATGCCTATTTCCATTTCAAGGGAAGAGTCAATGCTTATACTCACTCCCTCTGTCCACACTAATCAACTTTACTATTTCGTCAAATCATTTTCAAGATTTTTTGAAGATGCTTATAAACATAAACACTATAGTAAAACTAGTCCATTTTGCACGGTCGTAAAAAATAGTAAGTGAAATTTGGGAGTCTATGCAGACCTCACATCTATCTTAGTAAGTACAAAGATAGTTTTCAATAAACCCCAGACTTGAGGAAAGCACAATATTTACAAAAATATAAATAGTAACAACAAGATGGTAAGAAAATAGAGGCAAAAGAGACAACAAGTAGTAATAGAAAACTATGAGAAATACGGAAATAGTAAGACAATAGAAATACCAAAAATGATACTAATATAACTCACAGGAGAGACAAGTCGTGAAACTATTTACTACTAATCTTTACCAAATCTTCGACCTTACATACTCTCCAATCTAGGATCATGTGCAGCTTAACTATGTCCTACGTGATCACCTCTCTCCGATACTTCTTCGCCCTACCTATACTCTCCTCAAGTCCTCTGGCGTCAAATAGAATACCTGGTGAAATTTGTACAGTCTGATTTATCCTAGGCTAACTTGAAGTTCCTTCTTTTCGGTTCTTGGTTACCCTAGTATATAAAGCAAATAATTATATCATGGATGAAATAGAGTTGGCCTCCATCAACTTCCAGTTTATGACTCTCGTTTCTCAGTGTAATATATATATTCACTTGAAATGGATGAAAAATGATATTTTCTGTCAAACTGATTATACAAGCACGTATTTAGGAGTACCACAGTTATAAAATGTACAAACGGCTCTTCAAAATGGCCAACAGCTAGAGAAAGACAAAAGCTTTTACATGTACAAGAAATGAAGTGAATGACGAAAAAAAAAATTAGTATCTAGACATTGAGCATCCGTAGATAGTCATCAATTATGGACATTGCAGAAGATCGGTAACCCGATCCAAACAAGTTATAGTGATTGAGGTAGTGATACAGCATGTATAAATCTCTCCTTTCTTCAAAACCAGGTTGTTCAGGCATCACCTGAACATACAACATACACGGAAACGAATAAGAGTAAATACCAAGAATTTGAAGTAAATGTCAGACAAAGACCACCATCCAGTGGCAAGTTGACAACCTGGTTAACATGACAATATGGTGGTGGATCACAAAATTCAATTGTGATGCTAATTAATAATACTTAACTTGTTATAAGAAATTACCGGTTATCTATTAAGGAACAACAGGAATAAGGCATTTCTTTTTTCTTTCTTTTCCCCCCTTTAGAAAGTCCTTGCAGATTAAATTAAACAAATGTGAATTCCGGAAATGTAGTTAGTTGCAGCACCTCAAAGTAAGCCTTGTAAAAATCTCCTCCAAATCCAGCACACCATGACATTCCAAATTCTGCCTCATTATGCCCATCTACAGAGGACGAGATTTATAATATTTAGTGCATCTGGAGCCATTAATTCGTAAACCAAAAATCAAACACATTGACAGCCAGAACATAAATATTGCACTGAGATCGTTCAACTTATGTATATTTCCTTAGCCATCTGAATTGCAATGTGCAGATGATATTGGCAAAAGGAATAATGAGGAGAAAGGGATTTAAGTCATATTACAATAGGCATTAACATGAATCACATAAACCAGGCTGTACATCTGGAAGTAAATCAAACCCAATGTCCAACAATAGTACTTTCAAAACCCAATGTCCAACTAAAGTACTTCCAAAACCCAATGTCCAACTATAGACGAGGCTACCAAAGGATTACTCTACCAATTTATGTGAAGTTTGGCACAATTCAAGAGGCAATGTCATTTTTAAGTGTTGACCTTCCATTAAACAGTAATCCCAATTCCTAACTGAATGTTTGCGAGCTATGTTGCATGGACAATTCAAAAATATCATCGGGCGTGTGTCAGATCCTTCAAAAGTAGTGCATTTTTGAAGGATCTGACACGGCTGCAGCAACAATTTTGGAGAGTCTGAGCAACTTAGTTTTCGAGTATAAGGACGAATATCCAATAGAGGTAATATCTTGTCCCTCAAACTTGTTAAAAATTCAGACAAGTTCATGTCGGATTCTCCAAAAGGAGTGCATTTTTGGAAGATCCAGGGGTTGCGGCAACATTTTAAAAAGAGACTGAGCAACATAAGGTAAGCTGACACCATATGGAGACTTGTCAACTTTATGTATTTGTGGACTTTGGTCAATGCATTTATAGACAAATTTTATGCAATTTGAGAAATTTCAAAGTTATAAGTATTTCTCATATATTTTATCATTTTCGCCATTTCACCATTAAAGTTTCAGAAGTTGTCTTTAAATGGCTTTGATCAAAATGCCGAGTTTGACCATTGAAAGTCAAACTTCAGGCAATTGGGAAGGTTGATTATCTAATACTGGTCTTCCTCTGAAAAGTAGAAAAGGAAGCAAATATTTACCTTATTAGTGTCCTATATTTCATTATATACTTTTCTTATTGTAATTCATCAGGATCCTAGTCATTTACATTAACTATCTAATCTTCCATGAGTTCCATCTCTTATACTGTATTGATCTTTACTGCTATAACCGGTTATGTTAATGCCTCTGATAAAAGAGGTCGTTACATTAAAAGGAGCTATATAAGTTTCCATAGTAATATAAACTGCACCAAACATGCTTGCCTCAGATAACGCAATTTTCAGGTGCTCGAAAGAGATATATTTCATATATGAAGTAGTGAATTATGAAGCAAAAAAAATAATTTTTTATAACAATATCGAAACTGAAACCTAGGACTTACAGTAACATGCAGGGTCAAGAATCACAGGTTCACCATTCTTGTCATGTGTCATGTTCCCGCTCCATAAATCTCCATGCAACAAACATGGCTCTATCACAACATTTTTGAATAAAGGTCCCAGGTTCCTTGCTAGCCTTTGCCCTAAGAATGGATCAATTCGATATAACAAAATAAATAAAGCATGTCAGATATTGAAAAACCAAGTAAACATCATTGGGTTGTATAAAAATATTTACTTATTTAGCCGTTTAATCTCAAGTTGTAGAAATGCCAAGCCTCAAATTTCAGGAAAAAGGAATATTACAAAAATGTGGGTTTTAACATATATTCAACTCCTTAGAGTTTGATATTTGCCCATCATTCCATGTATGTTGATGTTGTCTCATTGCCCAATGAAATTACTAGGTTGTAGAAGTTTAAACTTGTAACACCCCAGAAATTTTTTAAGCTAAGACTCGAACCATCCTTCGTTGTGAGTAGGATTTTGTCGAGGAATTTAAAAATTTCTTGAAGTGTTAAGGTCACTAGATGTATCACGGTAACATCCCGCCTTAGAAAGAACTAGAATCAGAAAGAAGCTATTTTTGGAAAGAGTAAATTTGGAAATTTTGGCAAGCTATACTAAGTATGAGTTTTGGGTCAACTTCAAACGACCATAACAATCAGTACATGATGATTTAGGTGGCTCAAAAGATATCAAATGAAAGGTCTTGGAATACTCTTTCCAACGCCGCCGAGTTTGCTAATTTTCGAGCTCGTATGAGGGAGATATGTCCGTTTGAAATCAGGTTGTCCAGTTAAGGAAAGTTACCCGAAAATATGAAAGGTATTTTGGTCTTTTCCTTACCCAATCAGCTGAAAACGAATTTTAGTAATATTTTGGGGACAAATTTGATTTGGGTCAGTTTTCATAAATCCAAATACGCTTAGGGTTTTAGAAGAGAGTTCATTCAAGTCATTCCCAATTCTTTTAAAGTTTTGGGTCAACTTCAAACGACCCTAACTTTTAGCACATGATGAGTTAGGAGACCCATAAGATATCAAATGAAAGGTCTTGGAATCCTCTTTCCAACGCCGCCAAGTTTGCTAATTTTCGAGCTCATACGAGGGAGATATGCTCGTTTGAAGTCGGGCTGTCCAAATAAGGAAAGTTACCTGAAAATATGAGGGGTATTTTGGTCATTTCCTTACCCAATCGGATTTAAACATTTTTAATAAGGTTTTAGGAGTCTAAACTGATTAGAATCAGTTTTAGTTATTCCTAAAATACGCTTGGGGTTTTTAGAGGAGTTCAAGAAGAGGAAAAGAGGAGAAAGAGGCGACTCAAACCCTTCCAAGAACGCAACAAGTTTTGTTCAGTTCCAGCCCCGAAATCGAAAGATTTATTCGTGAAATTCGTCACCAAGTATGTGGGATTTCACTGGTGGATTCCTTTCGTCCACTAGGTCCCTATAATTCAGTCAGATTCTTGATTCTCTATATCTTGCTTAGACCTAGGGTTTCTAAAACCTTAGATAGTAGTTGTGATTTAGCTGTTAGAATATTCCTAATCAGATTATCATGTTTTCGTGGAATCGTTTCTTAGTTCTTTGCATGAAACTCAGAACCCTAGTTGTGTAGATTCTCTTAATTTATGAATTACACATGCTAGGTTAGTTAAACAAATATACATGTTTCAGTTTTTCGAATGTCACATGATCAGTATATAATTGTTACATTCTCAAATTTGCATGTCAGTATTTTGAGCTATTTAGTATTTCAGTATTTTCAGTCATAATGTATCATATACATATTCAATTGAGAGTAGGCTTAGCACCGAGTGAACTAGGGTTTTCAACGTACCCTCATAGTCCCAGAACTACGTGCCCCCGTAGGTTAAGTCCCTTCTGTGGGCATCAATTTTAGTGATCACGCCATTCACGCCTTTATACCCCTGGCAAGGTATATCGAGCCCTTCGATGGGGTGTATACAACGGACACCACGGTTAGCTCACGTGGT